TAACTTTCAGCGGGAAGCTAAAATATAATGTGTGCACCGAGGCCGAATCGCAAAATAATACAGCAGTGGGACGACGACTCTCAACTACTTGGGCGGGTATTTCCCTCACTGAAGCAAACATGGATATGAAACCTACAAAAATGGTTAGAGGAATATATTATCTTTTTTTAGTTGACACCACAATTGAGAGATTTGGACAATTTCCAGACGTTTTGGGCTCCAATGTAGGGAGGCAACTTTGCGCATGAAGCAAAAATGTAATGAGTGGAGAAAGGCAGGGTCGTAAAATAATACAGCAGTAGGACAACAACTCTCAACGTCTTCGCCGAATATTGCTCTCACTCAAGCAAATATAAATATGGAATTTACATAAATTGTTAGAAGAACATATTTTCTTTCAGATGACACCACAATGAAACATTTTGGACAATTTCCAGACGTTTTATACTCGAATAAAGGAAGGCAACGTTTAGCGGGAGGCTACATTATAGTGTGTGCACGAAGGCAGAATTGCAAAATAATACAGAAATGGGACGAAAAATCTCAACTACTTCGGCGGGTATTTCGATTACTGAAGTAAATTTGCATAGAAAAGTCCATCAATGTTTAGACAATGTCCACACTTTGTATGCTCGAATATAGGGAGGCAATTCTGCGCGGAGACCTACTATGTAATATGTAAACGAATGCAGAATTGTAGGAAAAACACAGGAGTGGGACAACAATTCTCGACTTCTTTCGTGGATTTGTCCATCACTGAAGCAAATACTGATATGAAACGTTAATAGATGGCTAGAGGAACATGTTCTCTTTCAGATGAAACCACGATTGAAAGACGTGGACAATTTCCAGACGTTTTATGCTCGAATATAAATTATGGAGGCAACTTTCAGCGAGAAGCTAGAGTATAATATATATCGGCAGATATTTCCCTCACTGAAACAAATATGAAAAACAAAACTTACATCAATGGATAGAGGAGCATGTTCTTTTTAAAATGAAGAAACGTGAAAGTAGT